TTGGATCCAAAGCCGAAATTATCCAGGAGTCCCCTTTTTGGGTGTATCAAATTATGTGTACCCTCTGTTGTGACCAGGCTAAGGGTATATAAACTACCAAAATATCGTATACTCCATTTAAAAAAATCCAACTGGTGGTGGTTTGAGCGGCGAATATACTGTGGGTTTGTGAAAAGAAACCTAATTCTGGAAACGTAGGTTTTAGGTGTCCCTCAGGTTCTAAGAAGCTGTCCTGATAATTGGTGGCGGCCCCCTTTGTTTTGTCTTAACTTATGGGACAATTTTCGACTAAATCGGATAATTCCTTAAAAAATGAAGGTCACCAATTCAGGCACTGTTTAAGATCCAGCTGGTACTAGTTTGGACCTCGGATTAACTATTGGTCTGTAAAATGAGACTTAATTGTAAATTCGCGAGTGTAAAGTGCCTCAGATTCTAGCCTGATAGTTGGCTCGCTTGTGGTAGCATTGCAGTGGCTGTGGTTAGACCCAATCGCGGTAAGAAATAAAATGCAAATGTGGAGTTGGATTAATAACCGGATGCCTAGCACAAGACTGGAGTTTTCCATGGTGTTCCACTTCAAACCAAGGAAGGGACCAATTTTTTTCCCTGCTAGGATACTGAAGAAAGGTGTTTTTGATATTGTGCCTCTATTTAAACCTGTGTTTTGACCCCAGTAAGTTCAAGCGGTCATAGCAGGTATTTCCATTAATTTACACCATTTCCTCCCCTTGAACCTGACCACACGTATGGTCACCAAATATCCCTATCGTTACCAACGATACGACGATACAGAGAAAAGGGGGTTTTGGTATTGTGCCTCTATCTAAACCTGTGTCTGACCCCGGTAGGGTCAGGCGGTTATAGCAGGTATTTCCGATAATTTTCACCATTTCCTCCCCTTCAAAGTGACCACATGTATGGTCACCAAATGTCCCTTTATACCGCTCCATGAATATTTCAATATGTTACAAACGATACGACACAAAGATGCTACCCTCCGTGTCATGGTGGAGGGTACGCAAAAAAAAACAACCTCCCCATCAATGTCATCTGCATTATTTCCATTAACAAGATGTTACCAGCTGTTTGGTCTTACAACACAGCTTAGTTACACAGATACACGTAGGTTACGATACGCGTGTATGTGTGTCTGGTAACTTTCTTTGACAAAGGTACCAGAGGTAACAAATACACCGGGTAAAAGGTGCTTAGGTAAAAACTGCCACAAGGCTAACTTCGACCACGAAGCGAAGCGAGCAGAAGAACACGGTAAAAGGAAATATATGAACATCACGTCTACTCGCCTTTCACCATGGCAGTTTAGTGTTGTTGTTCTTGTTGTTGCTATCAGCAGACACTTGTCTGTTGGCACAAGCAGCCGTGGCAGTACATTATTACAAATGAAGTTTTATTGTTAAGTCTTCCGCAAACCTATTAGTTGTCACAGCAACAACATAAACCCCATCCACACCCAGCCTCCTACTCCTCTGCATCGTGTCGGTTTGAAGTTGACAGGCAAGTGAACGCGATGGATGCGGTGCCATCATCAACATCATTCTGAGCAGCAGCATCACAAAAATGGGACATTTAAATTCATCACCATATGTGAGTGGTGTGTGTGTGTGTGATGTTGTGCTCCATCGGCCGCTCGAGATCACGTCCATCGACTGAATAATACATCAATTTAACTTTAACACTTTTTAGCGGCTGTGCCATTTGTTATCATTGTCAGCAAAAGCCTTCGAATAAATACCTGCAAGCAGGCAGGCATTGATTCGTATTTGTAAAATGAACCATTGAAAATGTTAAATTGAAGAAAACCAAGTAAAAAAGTATCAGTCGGTTTTGCCGATAGAAGTATACCCCCAGTCTTGAGTTATGATTATTTAAACTGTCCGACCGATATATTCCATCTTCACAGCTGATCTTGTGTTAGTAGAAATAATGGAATGTGTGAAATATGAAGAGAACCGGATACTTATTTCGGATTTTATGATCGTTTTGGTTATTCCAAACTTCGACCCTATGTGGAGGAGGTACCAGAAGTCCGATCTGTACCATCTTTATAACAGATCTTGTGTTGATAGAAATATTGAGATGTGTCATATCTGAATAGAATCGGATGTTACTTTCGGGTTATTCGTGGATATTAAATTTTTTAACACTTTGTGGGGAGATACCAGAATGAGTGGACCGATATATTCCATTTTCACACCAGACCTTGGTTCAATAAAAATATTGTGATGTTTGTAATTTGGAGAGAACCAGATGCTTATTTCGGATTTTATTTTCGTTTTGGTTATTCAAAACGTCGACCCTTTGTGGAGGAGGTACCTGAAGCAATGGTCCGATCCTCTACCATCTTTATAACAGATCTTGTGTTGATAGAAATATTGAGATGTGTCATGTCTGAATAGAATCGGATGTTACTTTCGGGTTTTTTGAGCTTCGTGGATATTCAAAATTTTAACCCTTTGTGGGGGGGGGGTACCAGAAGGAGTGGACCAATATATTCCATCTTCACACCAGACCTTGGGTTAATAAAAATATTGTGATGTTTGTAATTTGTAGATAACCAGATGCTTATTTCGGATTTTATGATCGTTTTGGTTATTCAAAACGTCGACCCTTTGTGGAGGATGTAGTAAGCCTGAATGGAATCGGATGTTCATTTCGCGATTTATGAGCTTCATAGATATTAAAAATGTTGACCCTTTGTGGGGGAGGTACCAGAAGGAGTGGACCGGAGGTACCTGAAGGAATGCTCCGACCTTCTTCCAACTTTATAACAGATCTTGTGTTGACAGAAATATTGAGATGTGTCATGTCTGAATGGAATCGGATGTTAATTTCGGGTTTTTAGCTTCGTGGATATTCAAAATTTTGACCCTTTGTGGGGAGGTACCAGAAGGAGTGGACCGATATATTCCATTTTCACACAAGACCTTGGGTTAATACAAATATTGTGATGTGTGTAATTTGGAGATAACCAGATGGTTATTTCAGATTTTATGATCGTTTTGGTTATTCAAAAGGTCGGCCCTTTGTGGAGGAGGTACCAGAAGCAATGGTCCGATCTGTGTCATCTTTATAACAGATCTTGTGTTGATGGAAATATTGAGATGTACGTAGTCTGAATAGAATCGGATTTTAATTTCGCGATTTATGAGCTACATGGATATTCAAAATTTTGACCCTTTTGTGGGGGAGGTACCAGAAGGTGTGGACCGATATATTCCATCTTCACACCAGACCTTGGGTTGATAAAAATATTGTGATGTGTATATTTTGGAGAGAATCAGATGCTTATTTCGGGTTTTATGATCGTTTTGGTTATTCAAAACGTCGATTCTTTGTGGAGGAGGTACCAGAAGCAATGGTCCGATCTGTACCATTTTTATTACAGATCTGGTGTTTATAGAAATATTAAGATGTGTCATGTCTGAATGGAATCGGATGCTAATTTGGCGATTTATGAGCTACATGGATATTCAAAACTTTGACCCTTTGTGGAGGAGGTACCAGAAGGATAAAAATATTGTTGTGTGTAATTTGAAGACAATCGGACTCTTACATCACATTTTATAAGAGTTATAATTATTCGAAATTTTGACCGTTTGTGGGGGAGGTACTTGTTGGAGTAGGCTGATATTTTTCATTTCTGCACCTGACCAAGCACCAACGAAAAGATTAAGATTAACAAAATTTCTACATGATCGAATGATCCTTTCTCTTTCTATGAGGTAAATAATTTTCTTTGAGAAAGTTGACCTTTTGTGCGGGATGTACCAGAAGGAGTGTACCGATATTGCCCATCTCCGAACTCGATCTAATCTGGACAATAATATTACGATGTACCAAGATTGGACCAAATCGGCTACTCCCTTTGAGAGTTATCGTGTACACCAGCAAGACGGACATTGCTAGATTGACTCCAAATGTTCTGAAACGGATTTGGTCCAAAAAGACCTGGGGTCTAAAATCGTTATAACATTTTATGCTGCCAAAACGCGCCTAGTCGAAGGGTTTTGGCAGTATAAAATGATATACACCCTATCTAGCCGTATGGCTGAACGTATAAAAATGTGATTTTTTAACTTGAATCCAAAAACCTCAGACCAACGCCAGAATGGTTGGAAAGTTATACATTCCATTCCAAATTTTCTTCCGTAGTTTGTTTTTTTGCTGCCACAAACTGGTAAAATGTTTTCTAATGCGGTAGAGACGGAGGCCACAAAAACCTGCTAAACTCCATGCCTATGAAGTAGGTAAGGTCACCTAATAAGTGTCAGCATGCTGTAAAGAATTATACTCCTTGTCGGTCCGCCTCTGTCTGTTGTGTATGACTACCTCCTCATACAGTGGCAAACCTCCGAAATCGTCTTGCTTGCTCGAAGTCTAGTCCCACATAAACTGGCAGTGGCAATCACAGCCAGTCCGGTAGAAAAAATTAGTATAGATGTTGGTTTTCGATCAATTAACAATTTCTGGTAATTTTTCCAGACAAGATGGGGCAGAGCATTTTGGCTTTATACAGAGGAATAACGGAAACTAGAGACAATAGACGTCCTTAAGCAATCAGTTAATTTTTCGATTTAATTGAAGAAACGCAGTCTGCTTGGGTACTTACAGATTGCGATACAAGTCTGGATTATTTGTAAACTTTCCCGATGTATTTTGTTTGAACTCGATCTGAATCCTAAAATTCTAGATGATGTTTTATGCACTTTCTTTTGAAAACCCGATAAACCGTTTATTTCAGGGCCATGTTTGAACTTGATCTGAATCCTAAAAGTCTAGGGGATGATTTGTGTAACTTCTTTTGAAAACCAGATAAACTATAGCTTTTCTCCATGATTTTTTCCAATAGTGTCCATGTTCATAAATTTCTCTCCTTTGTGTACTCACCGATTTTAGAAAACAAATATTTTAAAATTTTATTCACTTTTTTATATTTCAAAAAATAAAAACATGATGTTTCATTACATTTGTGTAATTACAAATTAAAAACACAAAATTGTTTTCTTTGTATAAACTATTTATGTAATCTTTACATAAAAAAATACAATTTTTTCTTATCAAAATTTTCTTAAATTTAGAAACAAAAAAAAACAGTTTACTTTATAAAATAATTTTGCAAACTTGATGTAAAATTTTGATTAGAAAATGGTGAAAAATCAAAACAAAAAATCTGATCAACAGATACGTAAAAAAAGTGGTTCATAATCAATTGCTTTTTTCCCTTACGCTAACACTTATTCCAATAAAAATACAGTAGTTAGTTAACTTAGTTTTCTAGTCCGAGTAACTATCACTCCAATAGGTTGTGGTTAGGGGGGCAACTGTTTTGAATAGATCCTGGCCGACCACAAAGTTGCTGGTGTCATTGCCTTTTTTGTTCTTTCCATTGCCGTGACAACGATTTTCATGACTTTCCAGACGACTGGCGGAGACAAATTTCCTCTTACATTTTAGGCATTCCATGATGGCACCCGATTGACTGTGAGCCTCAATCATGTGTCTTCGCAGCTCAATGTTGCTAAGGAAGGTGCGTGAACATTTTTGACATTTCATAAGATTCTTCTCATCACGATGCCGTTCCATGTGTGTGCGATAGGCTCCTTTTATCTTGAACATGCGACCACAAATCTTGCACGCAATCGGTTCTCGTTCATTGGTGTGCACCTTACGATGCAAGACCAACGATTGTTTGCGATGGAAGACATGATCACATTCATCACAGGCAAATACCTCAGGTGAAGAATTGTCGGAACGTTTTCTTTTGTGATTGCCAATGGGGTCGCCATCATCTTCATCGGAAGAACCATTGCCGGATTTAGCACCTCTTGATTTCGACGACTTGGAAGAAGATTTGCGTCGCTTTCTGCCCTTCTTTTTCTTTTTACTTTCATCCGATTCTTCTGAAGACACAGAATCTTCACTGGGCGAAACACTGGCAATGTCGGAGACCTTAAATTCCTCATCATTCGATTGTTCATCATCTGTGGCAGGATCTGAGTCGAGTGGAGCATCTATAACCACATAGCCGGCTGGACGTCTTATTTTATTTTTGTGTCGAGACAGCTTTTTGCGCAATTCCTTTTCCGTCTTTTCGCATTGCTGTTTAAGTTGCACGGCCTTAATGACATTATCCAGGCAGGTATTGCATATGAATTGTGGTAGGAAGTCTTTGATGGCTATGTGCACCGAGGGACAAATTAGCATCAACATATCGGCCACAGTTTGCTGATCTTCCATTTTTTTGAAGAGCGTAACCAAATTATCTTTATTGCAACAGACCCTACATTGATTTTCATCAACCTCTTCTTCTTGTTGTTTTCTGCGGGTACTAAGTGTGGAGGAACTGGCAGCTTCGGCATCTTTATCGGATTTATCATCTTCAGCTGGAGGTTTTTCGTTTTCGTTGCCTTTTTCATCGGTCTTATTTGCCTCTGGGCTAATTTCATCACTGGCCTTTTCGTTGATCTCATCTTCCTCTGCCGATTCCGTGGGTTCTTTATCCTTGATCACAATGGGTGGTATACCATCGTCGGGTATAATGGCTTCACCCTCATCTTCTTCGGCTTCCTCTTCTTCCTCCTCCTCGTCCAGATCCTCTTCTTCATCCACCACTTCCTCGACTTCGTCATCTTCGGCATCCTCTTCATCATCAATGGCCACAACATCATCCTCAGTAGCCGCCGGTTTTTCTTTTTCCACATCTTTGGACCTTTGACCTTCTGCAGTCTTTGTCTCCTCCGTGCTTTCTTTGTCATTATTTTCCAAATCTTTTTCCTTTGCTGATGTTGTTTGGTCATCTAAAGATTTTGTAGTTTTTCCATCACCTTCTTTATCACTGACTTTTATGGTGTCATCAGGCACGCTTTTAGCTTCAGGTGTATTATTATCCGCTCCCTTATCTTTTTCATTTTGATCTAATTTCATTGCAAGAATTGCCGTTGGTTCATCTCCTAATGAATTAGCTTTGTGGGACTTGTTCACGTCATGTTCTGTTGGAGTTTCTAATGCGGCTGTTATGGGTGGTTGTGCATGACTTTGTGGTAACATTACCGCGGCTGGTGTATAGCCTGCATTGAGAACATCCAGATGTGTGCTCTAAAAGTAAAGTTAATATACACATTGCACCTTTCATTATTTGATTTAAACTCTTCGATTTCAATAGCTTTGCGACTTTTGTGAGATTGTATGCCAATAATTTTCCCTGTGTGGTATTCTATTTTCCAAGAAATGTCAAAATTTAAAGTTTAGTTGTAAAAAAGGACTTCTCAAGGCATAATCTGATAGGTTTCCTGTATCTATATTTTGTAAACAACTCAGGCTCCTCTTCAAAATATTCAACTGCAATTTGGTATAGTTTTCTCACTGGGGGATTTATGGTTTATTGTCAGTAGACTGAGTACCCTGACATGTTAGTTTCGAATAATATTTTCAACTTAAAACAAGCACGACAGAAAATATCTGACCGCTGCCTAGCTATACCTTATTGTATTACATAATTTACAGAAAGTTATTTTTGCCGCCGTTCAAATGTACAAAATAGGCTGGGATGACTGCCAGGGAAGGCCTTCGTTAAAACTATGCTGCAAAATCCTTTGCAGGGCAGCCATGCTCTGTACCTTTGGCTATTTTGGACCAGTCTGTCAGGATGAAACGATTTTCAGGAAGTATTCTGTCTTCTACGACCATTCTATTATTTTCAGTTACACATCCAGCTCTCAGAGTCGTGTAGTATTTCTCTTCGCAAAGAATTCTAAATTTTATAGCACTAGCCAAGTGAATCCCCAACTTTGTTTGGTGGTTTAGAAAAATACTGAGGTACTTGTTCCCCTTAGAGAATTGCTACTTCACACCCTCCAGCATTGAAAGCAGAAGATTGCCAAAATTTTACTTCCACTTTCCGTTTAAATTTGGATAGCTAGGAGACCAGTAGAAGAACTTTTCCAAAGAGCCTGTCTTAGTTCCGACAATGTTTATATTCTATCTATAAAAAGAAGACCGATAGAAAGACATCCAACTAAAAGAGATTTTTCATCTGTAACAGTCCAGCCTTGTATTCAAAAGACTTCTATGTAAAGAGTTCCTATGGAAGAAATTCTACAATGCTTACAAAATTCCACCAATTTTAGAACCTAAAAAGGATCTACAAAAGAGGCCGCTATAGAATTTAGAGAAAAGATGGACAGAAAAGGCTGTCTATAGAGTTTTTGATTATAGCCTGTCATGTCTACTTATGGAATACCAACTGAATCCGAAAGGTATTTTTTATATGACACTGATCACATAGCCAAAGCTCATATAATCTTTTTGCAGAGAAAAAATAGATTTGCTATCCAAAGAAGACATTTCCTTACAAGACAAAGAGAAGATTCTGGAAAAACGATAAGGCCCCCATTAACCGATAAACATCGTCTTTAAAATACCAGTGGATGGAGGACCAGTACATAGGTATTGTGTATAGGATCCGTTGGAAGACCAATATAACCTCTTCTATTTAAAGGTAACCGGCGGATGACTCTTTCATAATACACATAAAGGACATCGTCTAACATGTCGAGATTTTCTTAAAATGGATGGAAAAGAAGATCTGTTGGTCGTGGAAAGCCATGTTGCTTCAGCAACAAAAGATCGACAGAAGGTACTTCAAACATCGAAAATCTTTAGAAGATATACTTTTTCCTACGTTCCATCATCCCATTTATCGATAGAGGTCGATTGATAAAGAAGCGTGGATGGACTTCTATAGAAAAAAAACAGAACTATTTAAAATCCTACAGGTATAAAGCGCATATAAGTTCTTCTGTTCAAAAGAATGAGTCAAAGATTGTTAGAAAGTCTTCGAGCTATAGGAGGAATTCGGCAATACATTTTCTAACACTACAAAATTTATAAAATGTATTATAACTCGAGCTTTAGTTGTTCCCGAGGAAGATGGGATGGTAATTTATATGGATGCTATTGGAAATGGAAATCTATTTCGAGCCGGCGTAGTCAGAGAGTGCCTAAATTTTAACTCTATACAGGGTGTCATTTTTTTGAGCTGTATTGAAAACTTTTGGTTGTAAAAAAGCTTCCACTCAGAATGAAATCCCAAATTTTCAGGCTAATCTGTTGAAAAAATTTGTCGAGGACCAATGTAGACACTTTTCCATTTCATGGATATTTTTCATAACAGCAGTAGCTGAATCAATTCTAAGGTCTTTATATAAAATATTGCAATCTTTTGGGTGAATAGAACTGAAGACATGTCATTAATGACTTTGAATTTCCCTATCTCTAATCGGATACTTGATAATGGAAAAGTCGAAATTTTCATTGCTGCCCATGTTATCAACTAGTTTCTGTTACTTCCAAGATTTATCCCCAGCTAACAACGGGTAAAATAAGGACGACCCTTTTCTAAAAGAAATCATAATTAATATTTTGAAAACATTATCTCCAAAGTCGCAATTTTCGATTATGAAGTCTGCTACAAGACCCTTAAAAACATATCTGCTAATTGGGATAACTTACCGCTCCAAAGAAGCCAGTCAGGGGTAAATGCGTACTGACATTGCCGCCGCTATAATCTGGAGCAACAATTGACTGTGACTGGGCAGCGGCTGGAGTATGAACACCACCACTGAATTGTTGGACAATCGAAGATGGCAAACTGGCTGAAGCTGAAGAGACTGGATTCAAAGGTTGCAGTTCATGATGTAGCTCCGGCTGTTGTTCTTGTTGCTGTTCAGAGGGTGGCACTTGATGTGGTTGGCCGTTGGGGAGAGGCATTAAAAGTTGACCATTACCATCCACATTCATCATGGGTGGCAGGGAAGTTAAATTATAGTCGGAATTATCCATTTTTCATTTGTTAGGAGGACTAATGAGCTGCCAATAGTTTGTGTGTGCGATTTCAAATTGTCAAAAATAAAAAAAAAGTTGTTTATGTGTTCTCTTTGTTTATTTTCTGTTTTGTTTTGCTTCCACAATTTGCCTCTCCAACGATGAATGACAATTTAAAAAGAAGAAGAACCATGAAAATTGTGCGCCTGTATGTAGAAAAAGCTATTGGCGTTTGTATCTATGTGTGTGTGTGTCCAATTAAAATGCAACCGAGAAAATTTGCAATAATTTATTCTGTCGATTTGTTTTCTTGCCTTTTTCTATTGTTTATTTATTTTGACTTTTGTTCCATTGAGCAAATGTTTTCAAGTATTTTTTCCACATTTCATTGGCCAGCCAGCGGCTTTTGTTTCATAGCAGCCACCCACCGCAATCAAACAAAAGTGGTCTTGTTCAATGCACAATTTACACTTTGTTTCAGGTATTCTTTTAATTCATTCACACACAAGTTGTTTTCTTTACAATTTGTTAAACATTATTTACAATAGATTTGTTTATAATTTTCACTGCAAATCTATAAATTATTCACTTAATTTTTCACTTTTTGCGGTCTGGTGAAATGCGAGCGAACAACTTTTCTCCGATTATTTTTTCTGTACACCAAACAATGACAGTTCACTATTGTGAATGGTCGTTGTCTGGTTTTGTTCGTGAATGAAGGAAAGCAAAATAAAGGAAGAGAGAGAGAGCAAGGCAAAAATGTGAGGCTATGTTTCCAATGAGAATTTATGCCAAGTGCAATGGGAGAGTTGTACATGGAAGAGGTTTCGTTGTACACACATTCACAATGGTGGGTTTTCAACCAAAATATACGTTTCCAGTAACATTTATTATGTTTTTTTTCTAAGAACATAGACAATTTTAAGGAAGGAATTTAAAACCTCAATATGTGTAAATTGTAAAGAATATTTTTTTTGAAGAATATATTTTAACATAATTTTATATCACCCAAAGTGCATCTTTTAAAGAATATTTTATCAGGGGTTCCCAAACCTCTTAAGGTATATTTTTATTCAAAGAATATTTTTCAAGGAATTGTTGACCTCCAACGTGGATTCTTTAAGAACAATTTTGAAAGAATCTGCACCACTAATCGTGGTGTTTTAAACATTTTTTCAAAGTCTTTGATTTAGGTTTTTTAAGTATTTTTCAAGGACTTTTGGACTTAAAATGTGGATTTTTAAAGACTCATATTCGACGACTTTCATACCTTTAAAGGTATGATTTGAATTTTTCAAAAGGAATTTCACATCACCAAACCTGGTTTTTTTATAAGATTTTTTTTAAAGATTTTCGGATCTCTAAACTTGGATTTTTAAAGAATCTGTTTTTGGAGGTATTCAGACGTGGATTTTTAAAGAATCTGTTTTTGGAGGTATTCAGACGTGGATTTTTAAAGAATCTGTTTTTGGAGGTATTCAAACGTGGATTTTTAAAGAATCTGTTTTTGGAAGTATTCAGACGTGGATTTTTAAAGAATATATTTTTTTCTAATTTTTTTGTTGTTGCAAAATCGTCAGGCTAAATCCCATTATTGTTGTTTTTATAAAAACAACGTTTGTTTATGAGTGGAGAACGATGGTAATGTTTACCAGGGGGTAAGGCAGGGAATACCTAGGTTTCGGAAAGAGCCACCAATCCTCATCAGTTTAAAAAAATAACTTCTATGACAAAAAACATTTTTTTTTTTTACTTCTGGGGAGAATATCCCAGACAAGAAACAAGGGAACTGATGAGGATTGGTGGCTCTTTCCGAAACCTAGGTATTCCCTGCCTTACCCCCTGGTAAACATTACCATCGTTCTCCACTCATAAACAAACGTTGTTTTTATAAAAACAACAATAATGGGATTTCGCCTGACGATTTTGCAACAACAAAATACTATGGTATCCCAAACAAGCAAGCCAAACTCTGTTCTATTAATAGACACAGGCACGGTCGACGAAGGGGTTTTTGTTGTAACAGACAAAACAAACTTACATGGTTATGTTACTTCGTTCAGGTTGAACGAAAGCATAACAAAGTGGAGAAAGATGTAAATGTTTATAAGTGCGGTTGTAAGATTTAGAAGATTTTCCAAAAGAATTTTAGTTTTATGTAATTCTTTTGTTCCTCTTCTATTGAGCTTACGATCTCGTCACTTGGGTAAAAAAAAAAAAATGTTTTTTGTCATAGAAGTTATTTTTTTAAATAACTTCTGGGGAGAATATCCCAGACAAGAAACAAGGGAACTGATGAGGATTGGTGGCTCTTTCCGAAACCTAGGTATTCCCTGCCTTACCCCCTGGTAAACATTACCATCGTTCTCCACTCATAAACAAACGTTGTTTTTATAAAAACAACAATAATGGGATTTCGCCTGACGATTTTGCAACAACAGAATATATTTTTTTCTAAGCTATTCAGACGTGGATTTTTAAAGAATATTTTTTTTGTAAGCTATTCAGACGTGGATTTTTAAAGAATATATTTTTTTCTAAGCTATTCAGACGTGGATTTTTAAAGAATATTTTTTTTCTAAGCTATTCAGACGTGGATTTTTAAAGAATATTTTTTTTCTAAGCTATTCAGACGTGGATTTTTAAAGAATATATTTTTTTCTAAGCTATTCAGACGTGGATTTTTAAAGAATATTTTTTTTCTAAGCTATTCAGACGTGGATTTTTAAAGAATATATTTTTTTCTAAGCTATTCAGACGTGGATTTTTAAAGAATATTTTTTTTCTAAGCTATTCAGACGTGGATTTTTAAAGAATATATTTTTTTCTAAGCTATTCAGACGTGGATTTTTAAAGAATATTTTTTTTCTAAGCTATTCAGACGTGGATTTTTAAAGAATATATTTTTTTCTAAGCTATTCAGACGTGGATTTTTAAAGAATCTGTTTTTGGAAGTATTCAGACGTGGATTTTTAAAGAATCTGTTTTTGGAAGTATTCAGACGTGGATTTTTAAAGAATCTGTTTTTGGAGGTATTCAGACGTGGATTTTTAAAGAATATATTTTTTCTGAGATATTCAGACGTGGATTTTTAAAGAATATATTTTTTCTAAGCTATTCAGACGTGGATTTTTAAAGAATATATTTTTTCTAAGCTATTCAGACGTGGATTTTTAAAGAATATATTTTTTCTAAGCTATTCAGACTTGGATTTTTAAAGAATCTGTTTTTGGAAGTATTCAGACGTGGATTTTTAAAGAATCTGTTTTTGGAGGTATTCAGACGTGGATTTTTAAAGAATATATTTTTTCTAAGCTATTCAGACGTGGATTTTTAAAGAATATATTTTTTCTAAGCTATTCAGACGTGGATTTTTAAAGAATATTTTTTTGAAAGCTATTCAGACATGGATTTTTTAAGAATATTTTTTTCTAAGCTATTCAGACGTGGATTTTTAAAGAATATTTTTTTTTTCTAAGCTATTCAGACGTGGATTTTTAAAGAATCTGTTTTTGGAAGTATTCAGACATGGATTTTTAAAGAATATATTTTTTCTAAGCTATTCAGACGTGGATTTTTAAAGAATATTTTTTTGAAAGCTATTCAGACATGGATTTTTTAAGAATATTTTTTTCTAAGCTATTCAGTCGTGAATTTTTAAAGAATCTGTTTTTGGAAGTATTCAGACGTGGCTTTTTAAAGAATCTGTTTTTGGAGGTACTCAGACGTGGATTTTTAAAGAATATATTTTTTCTAAGCTATTCAGACGTGGATTTTTAAAGAATATTTTTTTGAAAGCTATTCGGACATGGATTTTTTAAGAATATTTTTTTCTAAGCTATTCAGACGTGGATTTTTAAAGAATCTGTTTTTGGAAGTATTCAGACGTGGATTTTTAAAGAATCTGTTTTTGGAAGTATTCAGACGTGGATTTTTAAAGAATCTGTTTTTGGAGGTATTCAGACGTGGATTTTTAAAGAATATATTTTTTCTAAGCTATTCAGACGTGGATTTTTAAAGAATATATTTTTTCTAAGCTATTCAGACGTGGATTTTTAAAGAATATTTTTTTGAAAGCTATTCAGACATGGATTTTTTAAGAATATTTTTTTCTAAGCTATTCAGACGTGGATTTTTAAAGAATATTTTTTTGAAAGCTATTCAGACATGGATTTTTTAAGAATATTTTTTCTAAGCTATTCAGACGTGGATTTTTAAAGAATCTGTTTTTGGAAGTATTCAGACGTGGATTTTTAAAGAATATTTTTTTCTAAGCTATTCAGACGTGGATTTTTTAAGAATATTTTTTTCTAAGCTATTCAGACGTGGATTTTTAAAGAATATTTTTTTGAAAGCTATTCAGACATGGATTTTTTAAGAATATTTTTTTCTAAGCTATTCAGACGTGGATTTTTAAAGAATATATTTTTTCTAAGCTATTCAGACGTGGATTTTTAAAGAATATATTTTTTCTAAGCTATTCAGACGTGGATTTTTAAAGAATCTGTTTTTGGAAGTATTCAGACGTGGATTTTTAAAGAATCTGTTTTTGGAGGTATTCAGACGTGGATTTTTAAAGAATATATTTTTTCTAAGCTATTCAGACGTGGAGTTTTAAAGAATATTTTTTTCTAAGCTATTCAGATGTGGATTTTTAAGGAATATTTTTTTCTTAGCTATTCAGACGTGGATTTTTAAGGAATATTTTTTTCTAAGCTATTCAGACGTGGATTTTTAAGGAATATTTTTTTCTTAGCTATTCAGACGTGGATTTTTAAAGAATATTTTTTCTAAGCTATTCCGAAGTGGTTTTTCAAAGAATATTTTTTCTAAGCTATTCCGAAGTGGTTTTTCAAAGAATATTTTTTTCTAAGCTACTCAGAGGTGGATTTTTAAAGAATATTTTTTGTAAGATATTCAGACGTGGATTTTTAAAGAATATTTTTTTCTAAGGTATTCAGACGTGGATTTTTAAAGAATATTTTTTTCTAAGCTATTCAGACGTGGATTTTTGAAGAATATTTTTTTCTAAGCCATTCAGACGTGGATTTTTAAAGAATATTTTTTTCTAAGCTATTCCGAAGTGGTTTTTCAAAGAATATTTTTTATAAGCTATTCCGAAGTGGTTTTTCAAAGAATATTTTTTTCTAAGCTACTCAGAGATGGATTTTTAAAGAATATTTTTTTCTAAGCTATTCAGACGTGGATTTTTGAAGAATATTTTTTACTAAGCCGTGGACGTGGATTTTTAAAGAATATTTTTTTTTTCTAAGCTATTCAGACGTGGATTTTTAAAGAATATTTTTTTCTAAGCTATTCAGACGTGGATTTTTGAAGAATATTTTTTTCTAAGCCATTCAGACGTGGATTTTTAAAGAATATTTTTTTCTAAGCTATTCAGACGTGGATTTTTAAAGAATATTTTTTTTCTAAGATATTCAGACGTGGATTTTTAAAGAATATTTTTTTCTAGGCTATTCAGACGTGGATTTTTAAAGAATATTTTTTTCTAAGCTATTCAGACGTGGATTTTTAAAGAATATTTTTTTCTAAGCTATTCAGACGTGGATTTTTAAAGAATATTTTTTTCTAAGCTATTCAGACGTGGATTTTTGAAGAATATTTTTTTCTTAGCCATTCAGACGTGGATTTTTAAAGAATATTTTTTTCTAA